TCCCTCTTCAGGACGGGAGGAGAATGAGGCTCGGGGAGTCCCTCCCCTGTGGCCATACTTTGGCCGAGCCCAGGTTTGAACCCTTGTCCAGGGATCCCGTGCCTTCTCTCTCCAAGCCGCCGTTCGTTCCTGCCACCCAGCAGGCTGTCTCTCTTTCCCCAAGACCCCACACTCAGGGCGGTCCTGCCGCGTCCACCTCTGTTGACACCTGTGTGTGCACTCTCATATCTCTTGCACTGGGCGCTGGCAGATGATTTCTGGAACGAGTCCGTGGGTGTGGCTGTGTTCCAGTATTTATTTATGAATACAGAAATTTGAATTCCATGTAATTTTTGGGCATTACAAAATCTTGTTATTTGTAAAAACTATTCCTTTTTTTTTTTTTTTTTTTTTTTTTGAGTCGGAGTCTCACTCCATTGCCCAGATTGGAGTGCAATGGCCGCTCTCGGCCACTGCAGCCTCGACCTGCTGGGCTCCGGGGATCCTTCCGCCTCAGCCTTCCGAGTAGCCGGAATTACAGGCAAGCGCTCAGGCAATCCACTCACCTCAGCTCAGGCAATCCACTCACCTCAGCCTCCCAAAGTCACAGGATTATAGGCTGAGCCACCGAGCCCGGCTAAAGACTATTCTTTACATAACTAATTATTATTCTATTATATATATCATTAAGTTATATATAAAATATATTTTAAGTAGAGATGACGTCTTGCTATGTTGTCCAGGCTGCTCTCAAACTCCTGGGCTCAAGCAATCCTCCCACCTCGGCCTCCCAAAGCGCTAGGATGACAGGTGTGAGCCACTGCGCCCGGCCTTTCCAACGATTTAAAAATGTGAAATCTGTTCTTAGCGCACAGCCTACGTGAAACACAGGCTGGATTTGGTTCACAGACTGTGGTTCCCTAACCCTCACCCCACACCAACCCTTGTATCTACCTCTTGGATGGAAGGCTGAGCCTCAACCTCTCCCATGGGCGATGGGGCTTGCTATAACACCGGCCCACTGAATCCAACATCGGGGGCTCCTCGGGGCTTGGTGGAGGCTGTGGGGTACCTGAAGTTGAGGCCACGTCCCATTGTGGGGTGACCTGGGTGTGTCCCCAGCCTCTGTTGAGCTGACCCCTGCCCTTTGAGGAAACATCCATCTCCTGCTGAGTGTGGAGAATGTTCTTTAGGCCGGGCGCGATGGCTCATGCCTATAATCCCAGCACTTTGGGAGGCCGAGGTGAGAGGACTACCTGAGCCCATGGGTTCGAGACCAGCCTGGGCACCTTGGCGAGACCTCTTTAAAAAAAAAAGATTGTTCTTCACCCCCACTCTGCCTGTCACCATGAGGCAGAAATGTCTCCAGTTGCAGGGCAGGAAGACTTTACCTTCTGGATCTTGGCCAACGTGGAGAAGCCGCCCACCCCAGGTTCCAGTTCCCTATACCCATCCGGCAGTTCCCGGGTTGCCTCCGGGCCTGTCCTGACTGGCTAAGCTGACTGCCAGTCAAGGGCTGCCCACTCTTGTTTCAGCGTCTGACTGCCTCTGGTGTGGGTTGCCACAGATGGCGGGTGGCCGAGGGGCTGGGTGCCTGCCGCCCCATGACCTCGGGCAAGTTCCTTCGCCCTCCTTGTGCCTCAGTTTGCACGTAGGGAACTTGAGAACTTGGCCCAGTGCCTGATACAACTTGTGTGAGCGACCAAGGAACTGGGTGAGGTTGCCCAGGGGAATACCAACCCTTCCCCCAACATCTCCTTGGCAGGGCCCTTGGCAACCAGGTTTCCCAGTCTCCTCCCCGCCCAGCAAGCCAGAACTTCTTGACAGTCCCTTTGTCCTCACAGCGAACTGGGCAAAGAAATCCCACCATCCCCAGAGATTCCGGTTCAGTCCCGGCCACTGCTCAGAAGGGAGCACTTCCTGTGGAAAGGTCTCAGGCACTGGAGCCCCTGCCACGTACGAGCTGTGTGGCCTGGACACGTGACTTACCCTGTCAGAGCCAAGGAAAGGGATACCCCATCCAGGGCTGGGTGTGGCAAAAGCCAACGGCCTCTGGCTCGCTCCCTCTCCCTCAGCGGACCCCACACTTAATCTTTTCTCGAAACCGCCCTTTGCCGGGTGCTCCCTGCGAGGCTGCCCTGGACACCCTGCCTGAGCAGAGGCCGTGTGAGCCACAGAGTGTAGAGACTCCTGTGTGAGACGGCAGCAGAGGGGGTGTGGCTGCCACAGCCTGGCGCCATGACACATCGCCCTTGAAGGCAGTTAGATGGGGTCCTTCCGGTGAGGTGGGGGCTTCTCTGTGGCTGTGTGGGCTGCGGGCCTGGGTCAGTCCCTTGGGGAGTGCCCCATGTTGTTTCCTGGGAGGAGACCCAGCAGGCCTGTGGCCGGAAGGAAGGACACTACTGGCTCCAGGGCAGTCTGTCCTCTCCTGCTGTCCTGTTCCTGCATTTGTGAAGTGCGACTGCCAGCACCGTGCTGGACTCACAGAGAGGGAAGCACGGCTCCCTCAGGAGCGGCCAGTCTGGCAGGCCTTCCTCAGCCAGGCCTAGGTCTGGGCTTCCCAGGTCTCTGGCTCTCCTGACATGGGAGAGTTATGCTTTCTCCTCTCCAGGTCTTGGGGAGACCCCAGGGGGCGTGGCTGAGGCCAGACCACCCTGTCTGAGTCGCTGCCATCTCTGCCCTTCTCAGACCCAGGCCTTGGGCCCTGCAGGTCTGGAAGAGTTTGTCTAATTCCCCATGTTACACTTGACTCTCCCATAAGTACTGCTTAAGGTTTTATTTCCATGCCACTTGTGATGGGGAGCTCACTACCACCCAGGCTGACTTTTGCTTCCCTGGGCAGCTTTGCTTCATGCTGTGCCCCCTACATCTGCCCTTTGGAAAGGTAGCTTAAGAAAGCAGCCTCGACTGGGCTTGGTGGCTCAGCCTGTCATCCCAGCACTCCAGGAGACCGAGGCGAGTGGATTGCCTGAGCCCGTGAGTTCGAGACCTACCCGGGCAACTTGGCGAGACCTCGTTGCTACCTTAAATCAAAAATTAGCCAGGCGTGGTAGCGTGCGTCTGTAGTTCCAGCTACTTGGAAGGCTGAGGCGGAAGGATTGCCGGAGCCCAGCAGGCCGACACTGGGGTGGCCTGGAGGGTGCCTCTGCCCTCCAGCCTGGGTAATGGAGTGAGACTCCAACTCAAAAAGATAAAAAAGAAAGCAACCTCTAGCAAAACTGTCAGAAGACTACCCGGGCCCTCGGACGATTGTGAGCCCTCCTGTGAACCACGAGCAGTGTGGAAAGTAGATACTGAGCCCTCGCTTGGCACGGAGGATGGAAGATGTTTGGCCGTCAGCATGTCCAGGGAGGGGGTGGGGGGATTGTGCGTGGACAGGGAAGTCGCGAGACTCTAGGGGCCTTTCGAGCGGTGCTGGGGAGAAGGCCTCGGGTCTTCCTTTTCCTCTGCTCT